TCATTGGATGTGGATGGATGGATGTTCACCTACATTTATTTCACTACATTTATTTATTCTACATTCATTCCCTCATACATCTTTTGGTTCGATGTGTGACTAAAACAAAAATCCCAGCATCAGAAACCGAGTTGAACATATTGATGAATAAGATTTTCCTCGATGTTCCAACCAAGTTTGTAAATTAGTTTGTTTGAGGAATTAAAAGTTGGAACAGGGATAAATTTGGAATAACACATAGGCTACTTTTTATTCTACAAGAAGGCGGATGACGCTGCTGGTAGAACCTATTTCTCAATAAAGTAATCCCATGTAACCTACACGATAGGCCTCATTCCTAATTCCAAATGATTCCATATTACAACGTGTTACTAAAACTTTAAGTTTTTTTGCTCTATACAGAATTCAAAAAATTTGAGCAAGTTCATGTCTATGGCGCGGCGTGGCGATTAAGTCCCCAAAATACTTCATTTATTGCTATCAGATGAAATGTTTTGAACAAGACTGGAGGACTTCAAACTAATTAGTTCATAAATAGTTTGTACATACTTATAAACATCGTTAAAAAATGTTTGCTGAAAACTGAATACTGTTTAAAAAAAACCTTTTTTTATTGATCAACAATATTTTTTATATTCATTAATTGCTTTATTAACTGTAGTTAAATGATTATGTAACTTTCTACAAAAAATAATAATTACAGGCGCTTAAACTGTCAAACACCAAGCGGTCACCGGTGACCGCAACCTATTGTTCTATAATTGTGTCTACAAAACCGGTACTCGACGAGTTAATAGATCAATATTAAACAACAATTACCAAGGTTTACTAACAACGTTACAAAACTTCATGGCGCGTAAAAGACCCACTTCCCGCCAATTTATAAAACGTCAATTAGGTACGGTGACTAATACAATAACTAAGAAACTAAGAACAAAGTTATTACGAAATAGGAAATAAATAACGCAACTATTTTTAGACTTTAATTAAATTAACACCGAATTGTTTTGTTGCGAAAAATTCTAAAATAAACACATTTTTGCGCGACTTACCGGTTGACGCTTTGGAGTTTTCTATCGGATGTCAATAAGGCAAAGACACAAATGTAAACAGCCAACAGCTACCGTCCACCCGTGACTCTATAATGCTTATGGCCCAACTATCCTTGTCACACGAGGCACTGACGCGAAAATCGATCACCAATCAAATTGACGTTAATTATGTATGTCCAGCGACACGGTGTATTTTTTTTTTATTTTTTTTTTATTAATGAACAAACTAAGTAAACAGACGCAACATGTGATTCAGTCGAGATGAAAAGGTAAAATGAGTCAAAGACATTGAGCGTAGACGATGTCCTTGTTCCTTATATGGAATGTAATAATATGCATGTGTGCTGCACAATATTTTTTAAACGTAGGTATTGTTTTACAAACGGAAAACACATTTTGAATGATGTTAATTTTAGGTACTGTTTTCCTCAAAATTTTTATCATTGCTGACACTAAGGTAAATAAGGACCTATGTGCATTGTGATAGTCAGATGAAAATAGGTACTTCAATATTAGGTATGCTCATAATTATTGAGGGTAAAAATAAACACACTGACGGATTTATTTATCACACGTTCAACAACATTTTCCTTAAAACTTACCTACGGTAAAATAAATGAAGGTACAAATGCTATGCAATGTATTCTAATCTGCTATGTTTAACAGTAGAAGAGTGCCTCTGCTGACCCACGATTAGGAAAAACTTTGAATGCATTTATAAAAATGATATACCTACATACATGGATTTTACCCAAATGTTAATTTTTTAATCCCATCCTTGGTGCAGAATTCTCGTAAAACCCCTTCACGGAGATGACGAAGACAAAAGTACCTAAGTATTACTAAATATCACCCCAGAGCATCTTATACTCTCATCTAACAATGTGAGTGACAACAACGTGAGCGAATGCTAAATCTGTTCACTGGGGCAGCGGCAACAATAAAATAACAGTTAACAATTAGGTCTATTTGATAATCATCTACTGCTTGTATATAAAAATTATTTAAACTAAATCGAACACGCTGTACAACCAAGTAAGGCTAAGCCTACTGCTTTCTCTAATAATAATAGGTAATATAATTTCCTTAATGATATTATTTTCCATCCGATGAAACTTCAACTTCAAAGAAAAACACAATTACCTAATACCCTTTCATAACTATTATGGGAAATGGCGGAGTAGGCATCTAATATGGAAATAATGACATAATTATGTCTAGTATTTTTTATCGGGCAAACAAAAGTTCACAGAACGATCCATCATCTACCTTATCTAAAAAAGACAATTTGTAGCTTCATGGTTATTATAATAGGGACACGTAACTTATAATTATTAGATATGTTTAGAACGTTCTCGAACTCATTTATTTATTTAGTAGACAAAATCGACAGAGTACCTAAAGTCGTATTGACGTCCGGATAATTTCATGTTCGCGCTCAAAATTATAATTTGAAATTGTCGAATTCGTTTATAAAAATTCCTGGCCAAAGCATAGTTGAAGTCGAAGATACCTACTCAACTAAAGAAAACGTACAAAACGTTAATTTGAATTCAATTGGGATGATGACAGGGTATGAAAATTAATAATGTTATTAGTCCGTCAGTTAGGCAATGAAAAAATATTAGACACGTATTTTTTTTTTTTGTTTTGTTGTATAATAAAATGATACTTAGATATAACGAATCAAACTTTAGGAGTGGGGGCTAAAACGTAATTTCTACGTATAAAATGTACATAGAAGTGACATCGCGCGACATTTCAAAACAATATATCTTCAAAACTATTCGTTTCCGTAGAAAAATTAAAAATACGTGTCTAAATTTAAATAATCGACTAGACGCACATTAAAATAAAAATTAGTCATCTACCCTATTCAATAGACAAATGAAGTATCTAGTCATTACAATTTTCAACCAAGAGATTGAACAGTCGATGGTGCTGTTATAATTATCGTTTGCCACGGGTATTATGGCAGGTGAGATATCGATCCATGGTTCCATTGAAGACAAACATACGTTTTCAAGGACATTCTCTTCATGCATAATTTACGTATGACAGGCATATCTAGGGCGACCTGAATGACCTACAAGACATCTGCAGCGCTATCATTTTCTTTGGAAGGAAAATGCAAATAAACTTTCTACTTTAGCTTCGTTATGCTGGGTAAAGTTATAGTTGGGAGATAGTGCGTACTTGAGGCTCTTCCGCTGTTTGCATGTTTTATACCTGATAGTGGACGGAAATGCGACCATTACACGAGAATCCTAGTATTTAGATAAAGGTAATAGGTATCTACCGACTTTTCGCCGAATGAGTTTAAATTTCTATGTATAAGGGGATGAGCCTATTTCTTCCTTGTTTTAATGGCAGAAGACAAACGAGCAGACGGATCACCTGATGGTAAGTGATCAGCGCCGCCCATGGACACCGGCTACACCATTTGTCACAGGTGCGTCCCCGGCCTTTTAAAAAGGAATACACTCTATTCAGCCTATTTACATTTCCTTGCACGATTCATGGCCGCGTGTTATTATTGAGAAATAAAAAACAATTACTTTTGCCTGAACCGCGAATCGAACACGAAACCTTTTGCTCGGCCTTGTGGAACTTGCGATCAGTTGACCAAGGAGAAAGATACCTACAGAAGTTTTACCTCTTATTTCTTACCCGACTAAAGAGAAGCCAAAAGGAGAGTTACGATTTTGTCTTATAAAGAATTATGCAAATATATTAAACTGTCAAACACCAAGCGGTCACCGGTGACCGCGACCTATTGTTCTATAATTTGTGTCTACAAAAACGGTACTCGACGAGTTAATAGCATAATATTTTAGTCCTAAACTAAATATTACAATATCCCATTTCTTAAACTTACGAACAAGACGTCATACATAGGTAAGTATGGCTAGAAGCATATTAGATCTTCCCTATATAAAATAGATGTACGTACCTAGGCAAGACCTGTATCAAGCAATCATTCAATTGAACATTTATTGAATAGGAGCACCTAGGTACTTCTACGGTAAAAACGACGTTTACACCTATTAGATGCGATCTAAATCTGCGATCAAATGCAATTGGTATCCAGCTGCGTAGGAACGTAACCAATTGGCTAGCTAGACACTTTTAGCCAATTTACTTAACAACTTGTAGTCATGACTAAACAATAGATACACGAGACATATTTTATGTAATGAAAAAATATTTAGGAAATCCTTAAAAATCTACTAATGATACTTAATCCTTATTATTTAGTAGTTTTCTCTATTTCATTACTTTATAAGGACTTATCAAGGTTCTAGCTTTTATAAATAGATTCATAAAGTTTGTACTTACAAACATCTTTTGTTTAAACTCGACTTTGAAGAGACGAACAAAAATTTTTAAACTTACCCGCCATTGAGGCACTGCTCATTCTTCCGCGTGTAAAATCAATCTTGATCAAATTAATTAAACTGAATCTCAATAAATATAGGTATAACCTAATAAGTATTTTGATAAGCAAACGACAGATTATTGACAACCAACCCTTTTCATAAAACTAATGACGGGCTTCATAATTCAATTACGCTGCCAATAGTTTTAGTTGCAATAGTGTTGAAATTATACTATTTAAAAATAGTTTATTGTCTTCAAAACCTAGGTTAGGGATGTAGATTTCATAAAACAGTTCCTGCCGTGAACAAAATATAAATTAGGTATAATCGCTAGGTAGTTCAAATATATTGATACACGTCACGCCACGGGATGATATAAATTGTTTTTATTTTCTTATTACCGGTAAATCAGATATAAAATCGTGATCCACGAAATCTAATCAAATAATCAGCAAAATCCAGAATTTACGTAGGTATAAATCAATTTTTAGTAAAATTTGGTAACAAACTAAACGTTCGGTAGGTATATAACATGGCGTAGCGTGTGGTAAGTAGATCTGTTGTCATTGTCAATGCCAAACCAAATGTCATGCGCAGATGACATGTGATTGTGGCAAAATATTTACGCTCAGGTTATGTTTGTGTCTTTATTTCGATAAACAATAACAAATACGTATAATTGTGGTCTATAACGGTGATATTATCAAATATTAACAAAATGGCACCTGGAAAAAAGAAGGTACACGGTAAACGGTCTAACCAACACGTAAAACGGGAATATGCGGAGAGACTTAACGACTTGCAGCTGGAATCATCAGAAGATAGCAGTGGCGACGGCAGTAATAGTGACTCTGATAGTGAAGGTGTACCTCCTACGTTTCCAATAAGCATGTGGGACCTGAATCATTGCGACCCTAAGAAGTGTTCCGGCAGAAAACTAGCTCGACATAACCTCATCAAGAATTTGAAACTTGGTCAACAATTCAGAGGACTTGTGTTATCACCGGTCGGTAAACAATGTGTTAGCCCCAACGACAAAGAAATTATTGAAAAATTCGGTCTAGCTGTTATAGACTGTTCATGGGCTAAGATTGATGAAACCCCGTTTGATCGAATGAAGTCACCGAACCCGAGATTGTTACCATTCCTAGTGGCTGCTAACCCTATAAATTATGGGAAACCATATCAACTGAGTTGTGTAGAAGCTTTAGCAGCCGCTATGGTTATCACAGGTCACAAAAAAGAAGCACAATTCTATTTATCCAAGTTTTCTTGGGGCCATTCCTTTTTAGAACTTAATGCAGAAGCATTAGAGTTGTATGCAGCATGTACTGATAGTAAAAGTGTGTTAGAAGCACAAAATACATATTTGGAAAAAGTGAAGAATGAAAAAGATGACCGGGATATGTGGCCGCCAACAGAATCTGAATCGGAAACTGAATCTGAAGATGACTAATAATAGTTATTTATTAGAATAATTTATTTTACAAAATAAGACAAATAATTGCCTCCTGTTTTATTTACCATTTTTCATGTAATGTTTTAAATACTAGGTCATGCATTTGCAACATTCTCAGCAGTAATTTCAATTACTTACTTTGACATTCTCTGTGGTATTATTGTATTTTTTTTAATTCACAATATTACCTAATATCCAGACATTGTTATTCTTCGATATAAGTAAACAGGCAAGAAATGTACCTATGTATAAGACTATTTATAAATTAGTGTTTCACTATTTAATTTGTGAATCACTATTTATAAATTAGTGAATACAATAAAATGTGTTATATTACCTTCGATCAACAATAACAACTAGATAAAGGGTTACGTACAAAATCAAGCTCCAGTTCTGTCCGTGTGAATAATAATAGTAAAAAATAACAAACAGAGAAAAATGTTTTAAAATAGTTTTAAGTTCAACCTAATAACAACCATGGCACCTAATAATAAAGTCATAAATCGTCAAAATATTATCTAATACTTACGACCATTCGTCATATAAGACAAGAAAAGTATTTTCTTACTCCTGTCATGTAGAAATTAAAAGACATAAGTTATACAATATCTAGTTTGAATTCAACCTTAAGGTCGAACAAATAAAGATAATTTTTCCATTATTGTCTTGCGATCTATATCGTTTTGTTTTGTTTCGTTTTGCTTCTTCAAATTTCGAATTTCGCTACAGGAGGTATGTATGGAGTCGCGTTGGACACTAAAATAATTTTATAATATGAAAATTAACATTTCGGGATCTTAGTATACATCACTAATTTTTATTAGCGGTACGTTTTTGTGTATGATATGTTTATTTACTTTATCGTTAAAAGTCTAAGTCTAAGTCAAAATTATTTATTTCAGTTATACCAGGAAGGCACTTTTGAACAACAACAATATAAATTTAAAAGTGAAGCTATTTGCTCATTCCAAGGTGTAGATTCCTATGGAGAAGAACGAGCAAGAAACGATACAATTTCTTATTTTTTCAATACAAATCGACTCCATGCATCCACTGTTCTGTTTATACAAATGTTGGCGAGACTTGGCCAAGGAATCGCCAACACACGCACAAACATTGGTGGCGTTGGTTTATAATTGATAATTTTGTCTAATTTGATATTATTTACTAGTTTAAAAGCTTAAAATATAACTTATACTTTATGTACTTATCAAAAGTAAGACACTCCGGCCGTTATACTGCTTTTTCGGTTGTTATTTTTGCAACTTGCAATTACTCGTGAGACGTGAGTACGTTGGCCGTGTTTGGAGCATACTAAACAAAATAAGAGCTCACTTCTCAAGTGAGCTCTTATTTGTCGAGACGATTTTCTTGCGCCGACCCGATATCTAGTTGTTATTGTTGATCGAAGTATATTACAAATGTTTTAAATTGTCAATATGGATTAAATTATCACTGATTTCCTAAAATATCGCTTGTTAAAAGTATCATAATATACTATAAATATATCAGCATTACAATCCTGTTTTCATTTTTATTTATTCAATTTTATATTTTTATAATAAAAAAATATAATGCGCGCCCTCTGTCGAGTCAATTTCAAAGCTAAACGAAACTTGGAACTCCTTTATTTACTGTACTCTTTAAACAACTTGTTTAGATGGACGCCATCTATTGTGTAAAATATGCACTAACAAAGTTTACGCTAACGTAAACTAGAGAGCGCTACCAGTATCAGCTATAAAGTTTTTTATTGTGGGGTTAAGTTTGCGTCCGGTTACCCGGTAGTTTGCTTTTGCTTTCCATCGGTGAGGGTCGTGTACTCGTGTTATTGTTCGCGTAGTGGGTGTTATAAACTCGCGGATAACTTATTTCTCACTTACTTTTATGTGTGTTATATTTGTGAATGTAATTGTGCAGTGATTGGTGTGTGTGTAAATTATTTTGGAACTTGGAACTTTTGGAGGCTTTTACTTCTGGAACTTGGGTAAGTTTGTCCGTTGACTTTATGCAACCTGTCACGCAGGTGTCTCGCAAGTCGCAAGTCACTAACCTCTGATGAATACCTAAAAGTTTTCTTGAGATGCGTCCGCTTGAACTTGATTTAAGTTATCGTTTACAGATTAGTTACCACCCTATGAAGTTATACTGTCCGTTCTGTTGCAACCGGTCAGTTAGTGCTTAAGTTTTGGAGCATTTGAATTGATCTGAAGTTTTAGGAGCGGCATGGAATAAATTGTTGAAGCTGGTTTTTATACTAAGTATGTTTTGTAGAGACCGGTAGGCAAAATTAAATGATAACAAAGGTAAAAATGTAAGTTTCCGAACACTGAGTTTCAATATGTTGTATTTTTGTTTCATGTAGGATTGTAGGTACCTATTTATCGTTTTTGCTGTTTTAAATATTGTCCATTTATATTTTAGACCGTAATTTTTATCGATTTTTAAACATTTTCCCCACTAGAATTTTCTCCGGTGACGACGTGGGTGCGTTTACAAACATACCTAAAATTTCGCATACATACCTACATAAATAGGTACCTACACGTTACACCCAGAACCATAGGTAATATAATTTGTTGATCACATAAATAATTATTCTGTGTGGGAACCGAAATCGTGACGCGTTGAACAGCATCCGGTGTCCAGCTAAGTACCTACTGTGCCTTTTCTTCTTCCTTCATTTCTAAATTCTGTGGGTCAGTAAATCTCAAAAAACAGAAGTTAAACCTCAAACTGATTACAAAGCTGGCAAAACGATCACAAACACAAATATATATTTTTTGCAAAAGTTCTGTCAATTTGACTTCTTTGGCATTTCTATATTTTTTGGAAAGTTTGAAATGGAAAGCAAAATTAACTATTCGATGTATTTTTTGCGAAATTTCGATGATATTTGTACGAAGAAGCGATATTCTTTAAAGTATTTTGGAGTAAATTCAACAAAAATGTTCTGAAACAGTTTTTGGAAGACTGTCTTAACCTAATTGGTGTGGTTCACCCTAATGTTCTAGTCTTGTAAGTAAATCGAATTGTTTTATGTACCTAACGATATTCGTATAATACACGTATTAATACGGTTAAAATAATGGTCCCAAAATCGCTAGTTTTCGTAACCGTGGGCACATGAACCTGAAGGAACCTTTTTAATGTGGAAAAATAGTTCGACTTAAATTAAAATCAGCGTCATCTCATGAGCAGATACTTAAACCATAGATGGTTATTATTTTTCTTTCCCTTTTCAGGTGAAATTATGTTGTAACGCAGTCTGTGCAGTATATGACGCTTTATTTGATTCTTTATGTAAAATTGTGTTCGTGTAGTCGCCTCTTTAATAATGTGGTTAACAAAAGCATTCGTAAAAAGCAATACAATAATAATGGAGTCGTCACAGACGGAGTCAGGTAATAACGATCCTGGTTCGTGCACTTCATTCTCCAGTAGCGATATAGATGACCAAGTAATCACAGAATTGTTAGCAGAACAATCTAGATTGTACAACGCACTAAGTGAAAAATATTCGTTACCTTTAAAAGAAGAACAATTGTTAGAAAAAATGTTCAAAACAAGACCACTGTATGAAATACTCAGAAGTGAATTACTCTCAAGTAGTACAAGCGATAGTAGCAAGACAGTAACTGATTTGAAGTTAAAACCACCTTCTGTAGATCATTTGAAAGCCCTTCAGAAAGCTGAGAAAAATAAGGACCTATGTATAGTGGATGACAAAAGTACTGTTTCAGAGATGAAAGAATTAAGTGAGTCTTGTAGTTGTTGTTTATGCTGTGTGAAAACTCGACTTCACGAATGTGTTCAAATAGGACGACGAAACATACAAGCGCACATTAATGAAAAAATTGCATCCAGGTCCAATCTAGGCCAACAAACCAATGGTGAAACTAAAAATATTAAATCAGACCCTTGTACATGTGCCTGTAATCATAAAAATATCAAGGAATGTCAAAGGGCAAACTTTCCTCAGAATTTTCATATCAAACAACCAGATATTAGACAACGAGATCGATTTTTATTACCTACCAAAAGTAAACCTCTATCACCTAACAATCGTAAACAGAGAAATTCTTACCATAAACTAAAGCGATGCTATTTTACACCCTATATGGAAAATATTGGCGAAGGAGAAATCAAAAAGACTCAAAAATTTACTAAACTTTTACGAGATAATGCTGATAATAAGAATTTAGAATCAATGGAAAAGTTAAAGTTACTACAACAAAAAATAAAAGATAGCTTTAAAGCAAATAATAATGCTTTACCGAAATTAACACCCGAAAAACGACGAATTTTCCAAAATATTTTAAACGAAAACAATAAAAACGCATTCATAGAAAGTGTTCTCACACAATTTATTGATAAATCTTACTTGGATCATATACAGAATATAGAAACAGTTCAGAAATGTGAGCTTAAATCAAGAATACATAAACGAATTCACAATGAAAATGTTATTCACCCTTCTAACGCGGCAACTACAAATATTAGGAAAACGAAAAATGTAACCGACCTTTTAAGAGTTGCTACGAAGCAACAAAAACATCCCATATCAAAACGCATTAAAAATAATCAAATACTTGTCAATATGTTACAAATATCAAATCAAGTGCAAACACCAAAAGAAAGTAATACCTCACTTTCTCTAATGAAAAGACGAAATTCCAAGTCAGTACCATCCCTATTATCGACAAGTTCAGTAACAAATATAACTTCAATACAAGACAAACATTTTTCATTGACTCAAAATGCAAGAAAAAGATCATCTTATCTAATCAATACAAATACCTCTGGAATACGAGTTAAAATATTAAAATCGCTTTCTGCAACGTCTATTGACAAAAGTTCGCGGCTTGGTAAGGTGAATTCACCTAACAGGTTTCCGTCCATATCATCATATAACGTAAATAAAATTACTTTGAAAGTAAATCCTTTGACTTCATTTCACAAAATGATCACGCCAATACAATCAAACACCACACAGCGTGTTGTATATAAGAATTTATCCACTAGTATTGAGAAAACAACAAGTGAACTTCCAAAACTTCGCAGACATCTAAATGAAGAACACCTCGATCAACAAAAAACACCTGCAACTCAAATTCTTGAAAAATCTAATACGGTACAAGTTCTTGGTCATTACAACAACGAAAATTTGCACGAAATAGGCAGTTTTCATAACAAACCTATGTCACCTAAATTAAAAACCGATTTACACCAACAGTCTAAGATAAAATCAGATGAAAAGGATAACAAATCAAGCAGCTATGCACTTAAAAAATGCGTTTGCAATTTAAGAATCAAGGTAATAGATATTAGATCTAAGATTAATAAAATTAGTGCAAAACAAAACAAAGTTAAGAAAAGTTCAAAATCGAATGATCAAAACCCTTTAAAAGATTGGATGAAAATATCTAGATTGAGTATACGTGACACCAAACAATTTAAAACACAAGCGACTAAATGTGATCATTCTAATAGTTTCAAAAGTCTAAATATTGAAAGGAAAAAACGAAGAAAAAGAAATCCGTCTTTTAAGCATCACTTTAGACAATGGTCAGACTTCAAACTGAAAAACAATCTGACATTTAAAAAGCAGACTGAACAAGATAAACTAATTCAAAATATTCCCTATGCAACATGGAAGTCGCCAATACATACTGACTCCAAGAATACTATTGATAAAGAACTTGTGGTATCCGATATAATGAACAAAGAAAGTAAATGTATATCCTACTTAAGTACATATGATAGCGATAAAGCCAAGAACACAAATATGGTTTGTGAATCTACTACACGTCTAAAGACAACATCTATTTTAAAGGACGCATCTGTTGGAAGAGATAAGAAAGAAATATTTCAAAATCAATCTGTTCAGACAGTCAATAGCATACAAAATTGTAAAGTGTTGCCATTTCTACCAGATCAATTTAAAGTACTCTGTGAAGACAAATCTACTAGTGATCATGGCCCTATACAAGTTGGAACTGTGTCATCTAAACAAGAAAAAAGCAAATCAAATACTACCAAACCAATATATAATATGATTTTCTTTAATAAAGGTCATGGTAACTACGGTTTTACAATTACACAAAGTAGGGTCAAACCTTTTTACAATAAAAGCGACAGAATCAAACTAAGTGACCTCAAGAAAGCAAAACAAGAAACAGGTAACTATACAGATGAACCCAAAGTTACACCAAAAAAACGCGGCTTACGTAGATTCTTAGATATATTGAAAGTCGGTAAACTAAAAAAGAATAAAAAACAAAGAAACCAAGTAAAATTATCTAATAACACCATCAGTCTCAAAAATGATGAAGTCGAAACTCCTCAAACTAAAGTGAATACTGTTCACGAAGTAGTGAAATCCGTTATTAACCCCCAAACATGTAATTCTGACTTTTGCATGCCCATAAAACATGATTTTCAAATTAACAAAGAAAAAAAATCGAAGAAAATAATTAGTAATATTGTCTGTAAATCAAGAGCTAACACTGGCCTAACTTCACAATCAGCTAATTTCCCAAGAATCAAAAACATAAGTTCTAATCTCTCTAATAAAACTGAATTACATATTCCAGTTAATAAATACGCCAGTTCGGCTAGAAAAGTCTTTAATAGTTTACGTTTTTCACTTGACGTACCTTTTAAGAGAAAAGATGTAATTAACGAAAAATTCTTCCAAAATGCTTCAAAAGTTTTAAATACTAAGAGCTATACCAAAAGCTCGCATATACCTACACTATTGAACAGCAAAAAGAAAGACCGAAGTAAATTCTTCGGTCCCAAAATCAAGCGCTGTTTATACACGCTTAAGTTACATAAGAGAGGAAAATGTAACAAGAAATCGTGTGAAGTTAACACAGAAACAGAATCCAAAATTATGTCAGAAATAAAGTATTCGGATCTCTCGAAAGGTCCTATGAGTAAAAAATCGAATAATACAAAAGAAAGGCCTTATCAATTTAATCGTTCCAAACCATTAGTGCTATTATGTATGCCTCACAAATACAGTACAGAAAAGAAGCACGATAGTTCAAAAAGTTTTGGACCTTATAGTATAAATACCAAAACGATATCAAATTCAATTAATACGCGTAAACTGATGATGGATAATAGGACGACAAAACTTTTATATGTTAATAAGGCGTTATGCAAACAGCGTTGTAGACCATCAAAAAGAATAAAGTATTCAGGAAAACAACCAGAAAAACCACGATTTTCTAAAAAATCTTTTTCGCCTAGTATTAATTCTCATAAATACGAGATACTGTCAGAAAATAATAATAATCGAGAACAAAGGATAAACAAAAATAACTTGAATAATGTCAAAAACACACAACGACATCAAACAGTATCAGGTAGATACAGTTATAGTGAAAATATTTGTACGTGTAGTCGCATGACGCGTTCATCAAATAAACATCTCTGTACATATAAAATATTGAAAAACAATGAACAATGTTGTAGTAAATTGTTTGCTCCAAGTACCGTTTATACAACGAATACTGTCACTTTTGGCCAAACTAAATCAAAAACACCTGATATCTTATTAAAAAATACATACTGTGACACAACAAAAGAAACGCTCCTATTTAAATCTAAATTTAAGTGTAAAAGTAACCATGTGAAAAATCAAAAATCAAGGATCAATCGAAAGGAATTAATGAATCCTGCTCAACTGACTGGTGTTCCACCACTTGTGAGAAGACGTTATTGTACAACAATGAATGTACAGGTAACAGGTCGAAATGTAAGAAGAAAACATCATTATTATTCATCGAGGCTTGAATCAATACCATATCAATACCAAAAATGTATTATGGAGCGATTTGTTAGAAAAGTACCTACAGTGTCGGATACTGAGAGAAGATTAAAAACTAGTCCCAACTCAACACCATCCGTGAGTTCAGGTTCAAGAACAAGAAGAAATTTTTTAAAATTAAATCATAAAGACAAACATCAGCCAGCATATGCGAGACCCATAGGAGGCTTTAGATATCAATCATCGCCACGATTCCGACAACCCTACAAACAGGAAGAGCCGGTTGGCTTTACATTTGGTTATAGTGATTTTCCTGAACGTGAATCAAATCCTAAGCGCCAAACTACTTCCAGATCTTCGAGAACCTACGATAAGTATGTTAAAGACAGCGGTAATCATACAGTTGGTAGATGCCAGAGACAGTCACAGACAATGATGTCTCAAATTGTTCGTAGAGCTTCGAATGTTTCACCAATGTTACGACAATGCTTTTACTCTTTGAAATTGCAAAAAAAAGGAAGACTGCAAAAAGCACGTGAAATGGAATCTATAAACCAGGACAAATTGACTAAAATTATTGCAGATGAACCAGTTACCAAATCTACGCAGAATACGAAAAAGCAACATTATCCTGATTTAGTACCATATGAACATGAATCTAGTAATTGTGTTCCAGACGAATGCGACCCTACCTGGTTAGAGAACAAGGAAAGGCTAAAACTAAGACAAAGAAGACGTAAACAAACTGAAGACTTCAGGGCAGATTCAATTACATCTCACTTTTCATTGACTCCTAATATGATATCGAGTTGGGAAAGCAGAGAGAAACGAACGCAATTTCATAAATATGGTGGTCACCGAGGACCAGTCAGATCTAGAGACATTTTCGTTCAACCTAATCCTTGTGAAATAATTATCGAAAAATCAGCTATTCAGCGACCAAGACAATCACATATAATAAATCCCAGACTCAGTTTTAATAAAGAAAAAACTCATTATATCAATAAAAAAGAACATATAAATTTTCGGAAGTATGCTTATACACATGGAAAAATGAGAAACAGATTGTCACGAGACGAGAGACAAAAGTGTGATACAGATTCACAAACTGTTCTACGTAAACATGGTCGGTCTAGTGGGTTTCTGAAACGATGCTATTGTGCTCTTCAGTTTTTAACTCCTATTAGAAAATATCGTCGTAAATCTAATACTGTGACACGAATGGGACATGAGAGAACTTTGTCTACGTTAGATACACATATAGTAGAGACACCATCCACTAGGGCACCAAAAAGAGTTCGAAAACGAGAACATTTTTCTAAACAAATAATTTTAGATGAATTATCTTATCACCCCTATGTCCAAATAGCTCCAATCAAATGTTCACGCCCTAGAAGGTACAAGAATCATACAGCTAATTGTAAAAAAAGAACTAGAGATAGAATATCAAGGGAAACTGAATCGTTTAGAAAACGTATATCTCAAATAGATGTGTCTAAAACTAGAAATAAAATTTTATGGCTTAAGTTAAGACGATGTTTTTCTAAATTAAAATTTCACAGACAAATACCAACACCGGAAAAAGGCTTAATACCTCCTCACGAAGAAATCACTACTTTGTACAATAGTCGAAGTGTTATAACTCCAAACAAGCTTAGACCATTGCCGTCCAATTTGGAACATTATGAATGTGAACCTGTATTTTGTGTGCCGGACAATTATGATCTTTACAAATACAAAAATCGTATTAAAAGACTAGATATATGTTCTTCAGTACCATCAACAGAAGGATCCTTGTCGAAATCAAATTCAATAACTGAATGTCAGCACAGGTTTTTGAACAGTAAACCACAATCAGTTATGCAACCACAATCAATAAAAACAAGAAAACATCAATATGAAGTAAGAAGGGCACAATATATAACTAACATAGTTCATACGCCTTCAAAACGGACAAGTAATATTTTTCGTATAGATTTTCTTAAAGATAAACCACCAGACGGTGGTGTTACAGATTTCAAGCCAATAACACAACATATTGTGCACAAGAAGCCAGAAAGGGTGCCAAACAAGTTAACAAATATCCCAGTTACGTATAAAAGCAGCAAAAAACAGATTGAACGAGGTTTGCATGACAAGGATTCTCAAGTTCTGGCTCGAAAAATGCATTCTAAAATGACTGGAGTAGGACCTTACTTAAAAAAATGTTTTTGTACGTTGCAACTACATAAATCACCCGATAGACCTTTTTCTTTTGCCATGAATGCAGCGCAAACTGTAACAAAACCAAAATTGAATGCCTTTAGTACAGAGAGCGCGACGTATACTAGAAAACCGTATCAATTTCATAGTAGAAAACTTAGACCTTACGAATGTGAGCCTGGTGACTATGTGCCAGGACTGTATGACTCTTATAGATGTGACCACCGAAAAATGTTATCTAAATACTCGAATACTCATCCATTTAGAGTTCCATCAAATTCTAGTTCTATGCAAGACAAAACAAAATGTAAAAGAACTCAGTCTGGTTTTTGCAGGCCAACTCAAAAAAATGTGCGTACTTATCATAGAGGTGATGGTCATTCACTAGACAAAAATGAGTATTTACGAGAAGACCCCTTTTTATATGATTCAGGAGCCTACCGACAAGCCGTACAAGTAAGATCAAGTTTTAATTTTAATATTGACTTTTGTAAAAATGGATCACCACAGATTTCATCAGTATGTGATATTAATAGAAATATCAAAAAAGAAATGAAAGATACAGGAACAAGCTCAACTAGAACCAGAAGTGTTTCCAGCAGTAGTAATAAAAGTTATATTCGGGATTGTCAATCCCAATCGGAATGTATAAAAACAGAAGGTAAAGCATCTCGTGCATCATTGTTACAAAGCTTTTTTTGTACATTAAAACTACAGAAAAAAGAAAAACCGCAATATGCTAAATCCGAAATTATGCCTCTCACTGAATCTGTGGGATTTGATGCTAAAAAGCAAATAATTGTACCAGTAACTCGCAAAATAGGCACCAAAACTGAACAAAAATATCCATATATTCTCGAGCCTTACGAATGTAGGCTAGGCGTTTGTGTGCCTGGATATTGCGACCCTTATGATTGTCGAAAAAGAAAAAAACTTAGAAATATGAGACACCCAGGAATCGGATCAATCCGCATCACAAAGTCTATGTCAAGTGTTACATCAAAAGATGTTGAGACAAAAGTAATGAATACTTATTTGTATAAACAAATGCGCGATAGACGACGGACCGCTTCCACAGAAACCATTTATCTAATAAAAAAACAACTACAACAACTTTCTCATGTAAATAATAATCGTTACCAGTCTATAAGTTGGGAATCCGGTTGCAGAATTAATAAGGGTTTTATGAAAGATTCAAGGTTTGTAAAAGGTAATTCATATACATCAGAGAAACCAATCAAGCCCACTAAATATAAATCAAAAGTAATCATTAATAATCCAAATAAAATGAAATCAAAAGGATTAGTTGCTCAAGGTTCTTTACACGATGAATGGTCACAAGCAGGTGTCAAAAGGGAATCTAAAGGGACCGCCATGAAGCCTATACTAAAACGATGTTTTTGTACTTTAACAACACTTCAAAGACTTGAATTTAAAAATCGACTTCGTTCAATTATAACTAACAAAGACGAAGCAAAAGTTGAAACCACTGACAAAACAACATCTACTAAGAAAAAAGAGAAAAAAAGTAGTACTAAAGCAGTTCCTCTTCCACTTCAACAACCTGACCATAAATTAAAGCGAATAGACCATTATGAGCCCAGAGAATGTAAGCCTGGAGTGTGTGTGCCAGGAGAATGTGACCCATATGAGTGTCAAGAGAGAAATAAAAGACGAGGGATCCGACGAATATCTCGTAGGAGACGACCTTCTCAAGTATCGGTATCGAGCACGACTGCACAGTTCGTCCCGCGCTATAAATGTAAAAAAACACAACATGAAGAATTCTGTGTACCATACAAAATGGACAGAATTGTAGAAGAGCCACGATTCCCGTTCTTTCGTAACAATTTACAAAACCCTATGAGAAAAGGCGTTAAAATTTCTTCGAACTTCAATATCAATATTGAGTTTTACAAAGAATCGTTACCCTACCCAATTAATGAGGAGGTAAAAGAAAAAGCAATATGTTATAAAGACGCTTGCGTAGAATGCAAAAATCCGAATAAATCTAAAACTGGCTACACGTGTACAACAAAACACTGTCGTCACCGAGAATGTCAATCACAAACCCCTACTACAAAAGACAAATCATTCACCGTTGCAATGTTAAAACGGTGCTTTTGCACAGCTAAATTCCGCAGATCACATTTATCCCAGTCAAGTCGAACTCATTCAAAAACTGACAAAGAAAAAATAAAGCCTGAAATATTATTTGGACCGCGGGAATACCGTGTTCAGTACCAAATGATACAGTCGACAAAAAATATTACTAAAATAAACCCACAAGAGATGAAAATGTCTTGTAAAAATAGTAAACATGATAATAATTTTTGTTATCCTGCAGACAATAAAAAAAATAAATTAACTTTTAAGATGTTCCTTCATTGCAACAATTTGTTCAATAAACAATCAAATAAAGAATATATTTATAATCTCAATCAGCAAAAGAACAATTATTTAGTAAAACCAAATCATAAAATGCCATTGGTTGACATTTTGAATTCTTCGAAAAGCAAACGCCATTCTAATAAAACTATCGCTGAATGTATAAAAAAATCGAAAAGTCTTAAAGTAGCCAAAGTAGATGGAAATATTAATATCATAAAGAAATATTCTGGATTTCAATCTGGAGATGCCACCGGTAGATTAAAAAAAGATTCGAGCACAAAATGTATCAGACAAGTTTATCCAAACCCTCAAGTTCAGTTTGAACAAACAGTTGCAGTTAAGAAAAAGGTTCGTTTTGCCGCAGTGTGCCATAATATAACAAACTGTATCATCACAAGCAAACAAAAACAGGAATTAAAACCAGTTTTCTTCCTGTTTGAAAATAAAAACTTTAAACATAATAATAGTAAATTGTGTTCTTGCTGTGGACGTGCTAAAAGAAAAATTCATCCTCACCTTGCTAATCTGAATTTCAATTTTAAAAATTTAAACTCTGCAAGAAAAGCTGTAACTTTTAACAATCCAGTTGCATTAACATCTAAAATTAGTAAACCTGTTAAAGAAACCATGGCACTTCAAGAAATTAGAAAAAGACACAAACTATCTTGTCCTTGTTGCGTTTGTCGGAAACATAAGCCGATTATGGCTAGACCTATGCTAAGGGGTTATGGTAAAAAAGATGGTTCAAGCGTGTGTCGATACACCATAAGTAGGAGAGAAGCTGAAACACGAATCGCATTGATTCATTTAGATGCTAAAAATTATAAAATAAAGAAATGTAATAATGAAAATAGAATTTGTGCAACAAAAACAAAAAAGAAGGCGCCAGCATTAGAATACATATACATTCGACCTCGAAGAAAAAATGATAAAGATAAAATTTCTGATGAAGCAACAATTTGCGACAAAGTAAATAAACGAAAAAAACTTAAAAATTTGTGTAAGACTAATAAAAAACACGTGACAAATAGAATGAAAAAGTATAAAGATACACTCGGCTCATTACTTGCAACTAAACCAATTTTAGGAATTAGTAAATTAGGAGTTCCTAAAGTTGGAACTGTTCTACCTTTACACAGGGCAGTATTTATTCCCCGATACATATACCACAACTTTCAATCATATCTGCGAGGTCCAGTTCGAGTATCGAAGAATTTAATTAAACGAACTAAGGACGGTCCCGTGGCTGCAATACTTAAGCGATTCAAATTGAGGTTACATGCAGTTAAATTTATTTTTAGTCCTGTCAAAGTAGACGTAATAATAATCACGACACAAAGTACAGCGGATATTTGATTGGAATATGCGAGTAACATTGACGATAGCTTTGGACTAATTTTGTTGAGAATGCAAATGCTAGAAAGCGTTTGCGTTCCACGAAGGAAGCTGGGAGCCATCGCTATATCACATAGTTACACTTTTAGCCTTTACACCCTCTATAGTCTCTAGTTTCTACCCACATTATGTCTCATTCTAAGATGTCTTGTAGTCTTGTCCTCATGTAAGAAGTCTATGAATGTTATACTGTACTGTTTACTAGTAACTGTAGTTGCCCTGTGATCTTGTTTATTGTTTTCGGAGCTAAATATGGCTCTAGTGTGTTGTTTTTGTGTTTGTTGTTGTTCAAAATAAATTTTACACCATTTATCTGTATTTCAATTCATAATAAACAAACTCTAATTCGACGATGATTACTACATATGCCATAAATACGAATGATTATTAAATTTTAATTACGACAAATATACAGGGTACTGGATACAAAATCACTACAATTGATCTATAAGTGTAATGTCCTGTACCCTGTCCGTATACGCATCGATGACTGCACCCCAAAGTTCAATGACCACAAAGCCCCAAAAGTGTTAGGGTGGTTCGATCTAAACTATTAGTAAAAAATGCACTTCAATAATATTTGTGTACAAAAAAAGAATTGCACATATCTTATGACTCATTTCAAATTGTCTGTGATAGATATTAAATTGTCTTTTTTTATTATTTTCATCTCAAAGTTCTAAGGAAAACTTTATAGACACCTGCAATGTTAACAAACACACACGAAAGTTTGGTCATCTCGGACGTTCTCCCGGTGTTGTGACATATACCATAATTTGATAAATAGTTGACTATTATTTTTGAAAAGTATGATTATATTTTAGTGCTATAGCTTTAAATTATCTTTTATTTAAAATGAAGACAAAATAAAAAAAAGTATGTCATAAGCAATAGTACTAAAATACCTCAAAATAAAAATGATTATGATTTTTCTATAAACTTTACAGACAGAATATCTTGCACCTATTTTAAAAACAAACTTTCCAACTGATATCAAGTTTACAACCCGACCTTTTAAATAGTTAACACATCACGAAATCGGGTTTCAACGGAACACAGTGCGTTCAAAGTGCGAAAACAAAAGAGAGCAATATCGACCAAACCCTCAAAAGTGAGAGGGAGAGCCACCCTCTTTATGAGTCAGAGGGGAGGACCCTTGCACGTAGATATTGCGGTACCTACCCTTAGTACAGTACGAGTCATGCACTCCACGGCCCACGCTCATATCTATCGATCTGAGCTTTTGGTTGATCTACTAATAAGTTTGTCTTGTAATAAAATATTATGAAGAGCGTAAAGTTGATTTTTTTTATTTTCCGACGTCATTACTTATGAAACTGATATAGGTTACTGATATAGTTACTTTATTATAATTTTGACAAATAACAAAATGTTAATTTAAAATATATTTTTTATGCTTTTCACCTTTTAAAATTTTAAAACCAACTGTTTCATTAAAACTATGTGTATAAAATAGGCCCTAAAAGCGTACCATGCGCAATCCATTGGATTTTGTCGGAGTGGTCCGCGGCAATGTATGTATTTGTCGATTTGTTCATTAGCATATTTCTACGTTGTTTCGTCGCAGCTGTCACAGTACCGGGGTAAACGTACACCGAAATTGGTTAATACTACACTGTACATACATAACTGTATTTATAGTACTCATTCCAAAGCTTTGGTAAGATCTAAAATGTAGTACTTTTAAAATAGGGTTGTCAAACAACACTATAGCAAAAAACTTGTTTGAAGCCAAATTGGTGTCAAACTTATTAAGTTATCTTTATACCTCTACATATAAAAAACTGCATTAATCCTTTAATAAAAGTAAATCAATGTGATACTTACGAAGCTTAATACCTTAAGCGGCGACTAGAACCGGATTGGTCGACCGCTCATTAGATTGTATTGATAAAATATTATTATTGTGACCGTTTTAAGGACTTCATTTAAACGAACAGGTTTTTTGAGCGAGATTTTAGTATCGTCTTATATCTGTCTGGAAAAGTGTTCTTAGAAAAAATCTGTATTAATAATACAGTTATGAAAAAATACATTTTAAAACAAATTGATATTTCGTTGGAGAAAAAGGAACATCTAATTAAATTATGCTAGAGAATAGGTACGATTTGAAATCCGGTAATATCACACAAATCGTAGCTTATTCATCAAACATAATACTGTATAATGAAATCCTATACGCCCCTCGTAATTGAATACGGCTACAGACGTCAAAGTTTAAAAAACCGCCAAATCAAGTTCCTTCCCTATTTAATGTCGGCTAAAAGACAGCCCCTTGAACAATATTCGCAAAAAAAAGTTTTTCTCGCGTGCTTTGAGAAAATGTCTCGTGCAAACTTTGGGGGAACTGAATAGCATTGCACTTTACAATATTTCACTCGTGAGACTAGAAGATATCGTATTTTTTTATTGTTATCACCGAAATTGGATATAGTATGTCAAAGTTATGCTGTACATATTTTCTTTGTTTTGTTACTTTTCGGACTTGTTGCTTCGATTGTGGCATTTGAAGTGAAGTTCTGGGTATGTATTAAGTACATGGCGTCTAAAATGTAGGATGCCATTACAATTTTGAAATTATTGGGTAAAAAATTACCTATTAGTACTACTAAGCATAAAGCTTTTGCTTCCATTTGTTCGAGCCGCTTAGCGTACCTTAAATTATGCAGCAAACAAAGTTTTATTCTGTTTGAAATTACTCATTACGGTCGAAATTACAACCACACTTACTTTTCATGTGTAGCACGCGCAATATTTTAATTGTTGATTGACGTTGCCTTTAGCATTCACATTATGAATAATAATGCGTGCAGGAGCAATGATAATATAAAATATCACGCTTCACTGCATCACATCTATTAATATGGATACACTACGTCAACCCCTCTTTATTCAGCCATTTCAACATCTCATTTAAATAACTATTGTGGGGTTGTGTTCCGAGAACTGTAAATATATGCTTAAAACAAATATGAATTTACATAACGCTGTTTTATTTACCTTTTCATACGA